AAAAAAAAAAAAATTGCCCAAAGTCATTCAGAGAGTCAGTGACTAATTTCAGAATAAAATCTATTTCTATCCCATTCCCCAATTCCATGTTACTCAATTCTATATTCATAAATTTAGCTAATCTTTATTAAAACATTTCATCTCTATTGATAAATTTAGAAATCTTTAATATATTAAAAATCTATTAACAACTAATATAATAATTCAATTTATTAAATTTGCTTTGGAAATTACTAATATAAATATTATTATGGAGGTTTTGTCACCAAAATTTTTATAATAGAGTAAAGGTTTATATGTCAACAGTCACAATGTGATTTATTACATTAGAAAATTATAAATATGCTTCTTTAGTTCTATATATATTTTCTCTGAAAACATTTTAAATTAATTTAACTTAATTTTATAAAGAAATTATATATAAGCTGGGCCTGATAGCTCTCGCCTGTAATCTTAGCACTTTAGGAGGCTGAGGCAAGGGGATCACTTGAGGCCAGGAGTTCGAGACCAGCCTGGTCAACATGGCAAAACCCTGTCTCTACTAAAAATACAAAAATTATCGAGGCAAGGTGGTGCACACCTGTAATCCCAGCTGCTCGGGAGGCTGAGGCAGGAGAATTGCTTGAACCCAAGAGGCAGAGGTTGCAATGAGCTGAGATCATGCCACTGCACTCCAGCCTGGGTGACAAAGCGAGACTCTGTCTCAAAAAAAAAAGAAGTTGTATATAAAAGTGATTTACAGTAAAATAAACTCTTTTAACACATTGAGGAAACCCAAACTTTAGTCCCAGTACTGTAAACTAGCAGTACTAGCATTACTGTAATATGCTGCATGGCGTTTATGATGATGATGTCTGACAATGTATCCTTTCACAAACCTTATTTGTTACCGAGTAGGCTTCATTCCAGCTGCTCCCATTTCCTCAGTCTGGTTCATCACACCTATAGCAGCTAGAATTCTCCTCATGGATCACTTCCTTCCTGCCCATCCTTTGTTCATTATATTCACCATATCATATATGCCTGATCATCAAAGTACTCCACCAGGACTACTCACTGACACCACCCCCACTACACGGCATGATCTAATCAATGTTCAGGATCACACAGATTACTCTACCATAGTAATCCCACACATGGAAGAAATCCTAAGGTGATCTCTCCTCCCTCCCTCTCACTCTGAAAATTTTTGTCTTTCCTGTCTTTTAAAAGTTAACTCCCAGCTTACTGTCTTCATTAAGTTTCTACCGTTTAATCCCATAATTTTTTAATTCCTTGCCACCTATGGTGCTTAATTTCTGCTATTTATCATTAATTGCTCTTGGCTGGGCACAGTGGCTCTTGCCTGTAATCCCAGCACTTTGGGAGGCTGAGGTGGGAAGATCACTTTAGCCCAGGAGTTTGAGACCAGTCTGGGCAACATGGCGAAACCCTGTCTCTACACAAAATACAAAAATTACCTGGACCTGGTGGCATGCACCTGTAGTCCCAGCTGCTTGGGAGGCTGAGTTGGGAAGATCGCTTGAGCCTGGGAGGCAGAGATTGCAGTGAATCGAGATCACACTATGGCACTCCAGCCTGGGCAACAGAGTGAGACTCTGTCCCAAATAAATAAATAAATAAAAATTTTTAAAAAATTGCTCTTTCTCCGAATGTGAAGTTTTCTACAGTTAGGTGGTGAGCCTATAGAAGCTCCATCTTCACCCCAAAGTCACAGGCACATTAAACCCCAGTTGGTTGAAATCCAGTTTCTTCTAAATAGCAGCAGTACTCTATTTGCCCTCCAAATGCTTAGGGAAAACTCCCCTTCCATCCATTTCCAATGCTCTTCCCTCCCCTACTTTTCTAAAACTCTGAGATCTTACACTATAATATGCAAGGATTTCCTACTTAAGCATCTATTCGTGGGCTTGGATTTGACTTTATAGCTGGTGTGTCAGGTGTCCCAGTGTAGAGAACACATTTCCTCCATTTATTTTCTTGGTATTAGAAACTCACTCGGATTAACCATGCAACAAATGCAGCAACAGTCCTTTTAGGAATTCCTATGCTTGTGCTATTGAATTAAAATATTCTCAATCTTCTCATTATATCATAACCAATCAAAATAAGGATTCCTTTCTACTCAAATATTATGCTTAAAAATTATCTTCTTTCTGTTTTTCCAGATGCAAGTAGTTGTTTATACCATTAATGTGATTTTCCCTACTAGAGTCCTTAAATGCACTGGAAGACCAAGACTTAGAGGCTCTTATGGCAGATCTGGTAGCAGACATAAGTGAAGCTGAGCAGAGGACAATCCAGGCACAGAAAGAGTCCTCGCAGAATCAACATCATTCAGCATCTCTACAGGCATCAAATTTTAGTGGTGCAGCCCCTCTTGGTCATGGAACAAATGTTGCTGCCACTGGTATCAGCCAATATGAGGATGACTTACCACCTCCACCAGCTGATCCTGTGTTAGACCTTCCACTGCCACCACCACCTCCTGAACCTCTCTCTCAGGTAAGTGCATGGCACCAGAGACGGCAGGGCCATCAGCCTCTGCTACCTATCACTGACGTTCTCTGAAGTGATCATTACATTCCAAAGTTTGTGCAGCCAAAGATCTGACATACTAAAAAACCAAGATACAGAGCATGCTCGTTGCAAAGCTAGAACACTGCGTAAACAAGCCACATGGGTGTATATCAAGAATGTATTAGGGTCATATTCAGGATTTACTATAGTTTGTTTAAAAAATGTTTGTATGCAAACACTCTTTGATAAAACTCAGTCTTTTGGGGAAATGTTTTATTAATATCATATTGAAATGTGGAACTGATTGTATATTTCCGTGTCCCTGCTCCTAGCTCAGTACATAGAGATTGGACGGCATTCATTATACATTTTCTGAGTAGAGTGAAATTGAATTTTGTTGAACTTGGCAGCCCTGTTCAGTAGGACAGGCACATCCAAGTATCACTTGTAATGTCATAGTTGGGGAGGGTGTTACAAAGCAGGCAGGTGATGGGTGCTTGATATTGATAAATTTCTGAATATTGAAAAACAGACAACTGGAAAGTTTAAATTATCATTATTTGGGATATTAACTCATAGTATGTCTCTCATAAAAGTAAAAAGAGCACGTTTAAGGATTTTCTTTATAGAGTAAGCCAAATATATTAGAGGAGAGTCCAGTTCAATTTCCGCTTCCACAGTTGTCACACTGTGTCATGATGTTTGGTCCTCACAAATAAGAGCCTAGGGACCCTGAAGGTCATACAATGCCTTTTGAATGAACAAATATTGAACATAAATCAAATATTAAATTATGCTCTATCACACACAGTGCTCTACTGTGTACTTATTATAGAAAATTTATGTGAAAATGGAGATCAATATAGAACAGAGACTCTTAATGTAGGGTCCATGAAGATTTCGAGGGGGCCGTGCACCCCCTGAAAGTAAACAAAGTACAAAGTTGAATGCACTTGTGAAGCTTTATGGGCTTTCTTAAAGGGGCTTGTGGCTCAAAAAACAATTTGAGAACCACTGCTATAAAAAGATACATGCCTATATTCAAGTAATTAGAATGTAACCAGAACAGCTCCTTTCCTTATCATTATAAATAGAAGAGAGACTTAACTTGCCAAATTCAAAGAACTTTGGGCTCATAAAATACTTCACTCACTTTTCTGCCTGTTCATATGAGCTTGTCAGTGCTCATATGTTTTTTGGTGAATTGTAAGTTTAAATTTCATTCTCTTGGGCCTGGTGCAGTGGCTCACGCCTGTAATCCCAGTACTCTGGGAGGCCAAGGCAGATGGATCACAAGGTCATGAGATCAAGACCATCCTGGCTAACACAGGGAAACCCCATCTCTATAAAAATACAAAAAATTAGCCGGGCGTGGTGGCGGGCACCTGTAGTCCCAGCTACTTGGGAGGCTGAAGCAGGAGAATGGTGTGAACCTGGGAGGCAGAGCTTGCAGTGAGCCGAGATCGCACCACTGCACTCCAGCCTGGGCGACAGAGCAAGACTCCATCTCAAAAAAAAATATATATATATATATATATATATTTTCAGTGTCTCTTAATCTTTGGGGACATTAAGAACCCCTTTAAGAATCTAATTTAAAAAAATAGAAATCCCCAAAAAGACATCCTGATCCAAAAGTGTGTATATAATTTCTGAGAGTGTTCAAATCCCTGGAGATGTGTCAATCTACAGATTCCTTAGGTCGGATCCCAGTTTGTGGGCCAAGCAGATTTTTGTGATCTAAATATACGAACCACTGTTAAAGTCATCATTTCATCTTTTAAGTTACCATTCCCAAGCTATAAAGAGTGGCTGCCTTCTATATCTTTGAGCTGAAGAATTTTGTTATAGCCATTTAAATTCTGAAAATTGAATGTTTCGGGTGATGGATACCCCATTTATCCAGATGTGATTATTACACATTGTATGTCTTTAAAAAGTAATTAATACATTCTGAAAATCAAGCATGTGAAATTTGGTAACTTTTGCTAACATAAAGTAGCTAAGACACTAGCAATGACAGAAGTGATTACTCACTGGTATTATTTAATGGACTGTAATGAAGAATATCTTGCCCTTTTTCAGGAAGAGGAAGAAGCCCAAGCCAAGGCTGATAAAATTAAGCTGGCGCTGGAAAAACTGAAGGAGGCCAAGGTTAAGAAGGTGAATCATGAATCCCATTTGCATGGGGGCAGTTAAATTAAGGACCTGTGGTTATGCTTAATGATAAAAACAAAATGAAGCCAGGCACAGTGGCTCACACCTGTAATCCCAGCACTTTGGGAGGCCGAGGTGGGTGGATCACGAGGTCAGAAGATCGAGACCGTCCTGGCTAACACGGTGAAACCCCCTCTCTACAAAAATAAAAAAAATTAGCTGGGTGTGGTGGCAGGTGCCTGTAGTCCCAGCTACTTGAGAGGTTGAGGCAGGACCAGGAGGCGGAGGTTGCAGTGAGCTGAGATCGAGCCACTGCACTCCAGCCTGGGAGACTCCGTCTCAAAAAAAAAAAAAAAGAAAGAAAGAAAGAAAGGAAAAAAAAAAAAGAAAAAAAAATGTTGAGTGATACTTTCCAAATAGTTGTAATTTTCAAAAACTTTTAAGGACAAAGGTAGAGAACAATTGTTCTTTCTATATCATCAGTTAGCTCACTTGTGATTGATAAATAAGGGATTTGTGTTACTATAAACGTAGAGGTTTCCTTGGCTTGTACATGATTTTTTTTGCTGGCTTATACATGAATTTTCCTGGGAGCTGGAATGGTGGGAGTAGAATTATACCTTCAACAAGAAAGGAAAGGACCTTTGGCTTGGCTGCTGTCCAGGCAGGGGCCCTTTCAGCTCTATCTTAAGAAATTTTAAAACAAGTTTGCACATCCAGGGCTCCCTTCCTTTGAGCCGGCCTCTCCGGGATTTTGCAAAGTTCTGGGTTGATAGCAGGTGGCGCCACCTTTGGGGACTGCCTTAACTGGGTCAGAGCTCAGCTTCTGTTGGCCTGGCCTCCGCTTTTCCGCAATTGTTCTTGTGCCCTTTTCCTATGCCCTGGCGCAGCCGTCCGCCCTGCTGCTGCCCTAGATGTCCAAGTTATCTCCCAGGGTACCAAATGCTGTTTTTGCTGGTGCTCTGGTTTCAAAATAGGTTTTGAGTAATCTGCCCTTAACCCTACTTTCCTAATAAGCCTGTAACTTGATCATGCATGTTTTTTTTACAGAGTATAGGTTTTTGAAGAAGACATGTATTGTATTATAGCAAGAGATACAGCTGCATTTAACCTCACTAGAAGAATATACCTAATGATAATAAAGTGTTAATAATAGTTAGGCTGGGCGCGGTGGCTCATACCTATAATCTTAACACTTTGGGAGGCTGAGGTGGGTGGATCACCTGAGGTCAGGAGTTCAAGACCAGCCTGGCCAACACAGTGAAACCCCGTCTCTACTAAAAGTACAAAAATAAGCTGGATACAGTGGTGTGCACCTGTAATCCCAGCTACTCAGGAGGCTGAAGCAGGATAATCATTTGAGCCCAGAAGGCGGGGGTTGTCGTGAGCCAAGATTGCACCACTGCACTCCAGCCTGGACCGCAGAGCGAGACTCCAACTCAAAAAAACAAAAAATTTAAAAAAATAGTTAATTTGGTAAAGTAAGGGAAAGATGAAACAGTCTTCATCGTGTTTTGTTTCAAGACAGGGTCTTGCTCTATCACCCAAGCTGATCATGGCTCACTGCAGCCTTAAACTCCTGGGGTCAAGCAATCCTCCTCCCTCAGCCTCCTGAGTAGCTGGAACCACAGGCATGTACCACCATGCCCGGCTATTTTTATTTTTTGTAGAGTTGAGGCCTCCCTATGTTGCCTAGGCTGGTCTTGGACTCCTAGGCTCAAGCGAGCCACCCATCTCAGCCTCACAAAGTGCTAGGATTACAGGTATGAGCCACGATGCCTGGCTCTTCATCTGATTTCAACTGCTGAAGCAAATAACATCTCTTGAGACTCATTCAAAATTTTCTGTTGAGAGTGGCATGAATTGTCCTTTTCACATAGGGCTTTACGCTTTCTATTCCCATGGCACCTATCACAGTTCTCTGAATGAAGGCGTTCAATACCTGCCCATGGATGGATATTCAGGAAGTAGTCCTTGGCTGCCCCTGGAGCCAGACTTTCAAGGTTCATCTAGGGGAGTCTTCCCAGATTAGTCTGGTTCCACTCATTCCAAACGTGCCCAAATTTCCTTACCATTTTCTCTGCATTTTCCACAAGTGATTAATTCCACAGTCAGTCTTTGGAACTCCACATCCTCATGTGCCTTGTCCTTTTCTCAAATCTTGGTTAAATTCAACTTTCCTCCTGCTCAGTCCTGGGCGCTCAGTGAGCTACCCTGGTTCCATCACTCTCTCACCTACAAAATCATTTTTTTTAAGAGACAAGGGTCTCACTCTGTTGCCCAGGTTGGTCTCAAACTCCTGGCATCAAGTGATCCTCCCACCTGGGCCTCCCAAAGTGCTGCGATTACAAGCATGAGCCACCACACCTGGCCTCAGCTAACGATTTTGTTGCCCGTGTCGCAGGGAAAATAGACGCAGTCAAAACAAAAGTTGCGCAAGCTCCCGCCAAGACATCTACCTATCTACCTGCGTGCATCTCTACCCACATATCCCATATTCTTTCATTAATGATGGATGAATCATTATGTTTCTGCCGAGGGCCAGCTTCTTCTCTTGGGCTTCTGTCTCTCTTCTTGTCCTCCTCTGCTCCAAAGTCTCTGATGTCTGCCCACCTCACACATGAAGCCAGAATGAATCCTCCCGGTGGCCTCCAGTCCCTGCATGACATGGTGACCAGTCACCTCCCTGGCCTCATCTCCCAGCATTCACTCCTTCATTCCCCTCATTCCAGCTGCTGGTCTCCTGACTGCCCCTCAAGCACTCCAGGCCTGCCCTTGCCTTGGGACCTTGCCGCCCACATCCCCAGTACTCCCAATCCTTCCCCCACTTCAGTGTTCCCCTCAGTGCTTAACACTACCCTATTTGTGTGTGTGTGTGTGTGTGTGTGTGTGGGTGGGTGTGTGTGTGGATGTCAAGGTCTTGCTCTGTCACCCAGGCTGGAGTGCAGTGGTGCTATCACAGCTCACTGAAGCCTCAAATTCCTGGGCTCAAGTGATCTTACCACCCAGCCTCCCAGGTAGCTCGGACTACAGGTATGCACCACCATGGCCCGCTATTTTTAAAAATTATTTGTAGAGAAAGGGTCTGGCCATGTTGCCCAGGCTGGTCTCAAACTCTTGGCCTCAAGCAATCCTCCCACTTCAGCCTGTCAAAGTGCTAGGATTACAGGCATGCAATAGTGGTTAAAATAGTTAATTTGGTAAATTAAGGGAAAGATGAAACGGGCATGTAATCCAGCACTTTGGGAGGCTGAGGTGGGAGGATTGCTTGGCCTGGCCTACTTTACTTATTTGTCCTATGTATTGCCCGTATCCCCTCCCCACCACCCCATAGGATCTTCCCCAGGGATCTTTGTCTCTTCCCCACCAATGCATCCCCATCTCTTAGAATAGATGCCAGGATCACACAGAGGTGAATAAGTCAAGTGTGGTCCCTGCTTGTGGAGAGTTAGAGTCTAGTTAGACTCTAGCTCTGAAGAAAATAAAGCAGGGAGAAGTGACAGAGAGTACACAGGCAACCCTTCCAGATGGATTTGGTGCCAAGGAGGCCTCTCTGAGCATGCAGCCCTGGAGGGAAGGCCTCTGGCCAGAAGCAGTTGGATGCACATGGGTGTGGTGCTAGGGGGCATTCCGGGCAGAGGCAACGGAGAGTGAAAGACGGTCCAGCAAGAATGAGCTCCGGGAGGTGGGGAAAAAAGAAAACAACTGAGGACAGAGAGGCAGCCGGGAGACACAGGGTCTCACAGGTCCACGGAGAAGTTTGAGTTGTATTGTAAGTGCAATGGGAAACCATTTGAGGGTTTTAAACAGGGGAGTGTAAGATGAATATATGGCTTTTAAAGGTCATAAAGGGCCAGGCACAGAGGATCACACCTCTACTCTCAACACTTTGGGAGGCCGAGGCAGGAGGATTGCTTGAGGCCAGAAGTTAAGACTAGCCTGGGCAACATAGCAAGAGCCCATCTCTACAAAAATAAAAATTGTTTTTCATTAACTGGGCATGGTGGTTCACACATGTAATCCCAGCTACAGGAGGCTGAGGTGGGAGGGTCCCTTGAGCCCAGGAGTTCAAGGTTGCAGTGAGCTATGATCACACCACTGCACGTCAGCCTGGGTGGCAGAGCAAGATCTTGTCTCTAAAATAAATAAGCATGGGTCATACTGGCTGCTTTGTGGAAAATGGATTGTAGGGGCAAGGTATGAGAGCAGGATTCTAGCACAAAATCTCACACATGGATAAACGTGTTGATCACACATGGATGGCAGCTGAGGATAAGCTGTGCTGAGTCACTGACTTTACCTCTCAAGATAAAAAGACAAAAGAAAAAGGTAACAGTAAACTTCATAATTAGACTATTTCAAACCCCTGGATTATGTATAAAATATATTATTTATATATTTTCAGAAGCGGAAATGAAAAGAGAAGTTGTTTCTTAGTTTAAAAGATAGAACAACCAGCAGGTTCCATCCATTCGCTTCAGCTGGAGATTAAGAGAACAGAAGGAGAGGGCAGATATCTCCTGCCATATATCAGAAAGTGAGAGTGTTGCCATGATTTAGTTTAGATGAATTATAATGGTACACACAAAGCACAAGCTGCCTTGATTCAACAAGGAAGATGGAAAACAGAAGCCACTCTGATCACTGAGGAAGGAAAGAAAATTACGAAGACAAGTTATGTATTTGCTCTGATTTCAGACACTCCGAATATATTTGTTCTGTGATGCAGAATATTAAGAAAATAACTGAGACACACTCATGCATTAAGAGAATAACTGCAATGTACTCATGCGTAATCTACAACATGTTTTTAAAGGATGGAAATCAAATCTATCTGTCATACTTTGCCCTCAAGTATTCTGTGGGCTGTTGACATCATTTTGAATTACAAATGATGTACACAGCTTGTGCTACAAAGATTTTGGAACTAGAAACAGAATCAGACTCATGCATTACTTTTATTGTTTTTTTAAAAGCCCTGTGACACCAGAGAACGGTTCCATTTG